AAAAGCGGGCCCTCACAGCGACACACACTCTATGTATATGTATATGTATATGTATATGTGTGTGTATATATATATATACATTTTATTTATTTATTTACTTATAAAATCTGCATAGATATACACACACATGCATTTGTGTTTGATTCCGATCTTTGATTGGGTTTGTTTGACCAGCTCGCAACGGAACCGCGTCTGACACCGCAGCTGCGGGTTCAGACGGTGCCGGTTCCGTTCCCGGTCCGGTACCGTAGCTTTTGAATAGGGCGTGCACCCGCTAGAGGCGAGGCGTCTCTGCACCCTCCCTTGTTTTCCGGTGCTTGCCCGTTCGCCCGATCAGGTCGGCGACGGCGACATCGTCGACGGAATTCCGGGTCTTCTTCCCGGTCTTCATCTTTCTCCAGATCTGCCCGCCCGGTGCTCAAATTGACCCGGCGGCAATCTGTGTCTTATCCTGTGTCCGCGCCTAGGTCGCCGGACCCGGAGATCTTCATCTTCGCGTTCCCGGCACCGGTCCCCTTCGCGATGCTCCCGTGCATCCGAGGACTGTGTCTGCCTTTTGCTGGTTTGCATGTTAGGCCACCGCATGCTTACACTTAACATCGGCGCCTCTCTATTGCATGTCACGTCATGTTTTTGTGCTGTTTCTTTTTCCGCAGCCGTTCTGCTCTGACGTTTGTGGATGCTCCCATTCCCTATTGCCTTCGCCATCTACAGGATGACTGGCACCGCGGATGCTCCGTCCACTTCCCGTACCGCGGCCGCTCAGGCGGAGGAGTCTGTGACCGCTCCTGCCTCCGGTCCTGGTCCGTTGCTGTCTCCTTCTAACAGCGCGGAGACCACGGAACCGGCCATGGAGGAGCCTTCCGCCCCGACTTCCCCGCCTCCGGCTGAGCCCGTCGAACCGGCTCCGGAAGGCGAAGTAGCCGAGGCCGACTCTGGTGCTTCTGCCTCCGGTTCTCCGCCTCCGGAAGCCTGGGCCGAGGACAGGCCGCAACAGGCTAGGCAGTCCGTTCTGTCTGCTCTGCCTACCGCCGACTTAATCCGCCTCTGTCTGGAGGCGTCGGCGACGGCCTTAGGACGTTGCGTCGACCGATCCGGTCCGCAACGCACCCCCGCGTCTGCTGCTCCGCTCTGCCCCCGTGGCTAAGGAGCCTCCGGTCAAGGCCGGCCCCGGCTCCGTCTCCTGCTGCCGAGGTAAAAGATGAAAACCCGGATCCTTCTCCGGTCGGGCAGCAGCAGCCGGTTCCGAAGCCCTGTCCGTTGCCGTATCCGGGCGCTGTCCAAAGCTTCGTGCCCTTCTGCCAGACACGCCTCTCGGACTGGCAGACTCTGCTGCCGCCTCGGCTTCCGTGGCCACATCTTACCCAGCGTGTTGAAGATGGCGCGGGCACTTGCAGCACTGCTCGCCCTGACCCTGCTAAGTACAGTGACCCTCTCCGCAATCTGCGTGCTTCTTGGTCGCGTCGTCTCCTGGATAAGGGTCTGGCATCGCACATTGCAGCCGCACTCAACTCTGGTCGCCGTGAGCCTCCTTTATCTGATGACGACTTGCGGCCATTTCTCTCAGATCTGCGCGACTTTCTTGGCGTCCCCTCTGACGGCGTCTGGGAGAAGCTTCTCTGGGTCCAGCCGGGTCAGCCTTTCCGTCTCAACCTTTGGCATTGCCTCTCACTGGTCTGTGCTGATCCCGACTCTGACTAATTTCATCTGCTCAGAGAGGGTGTGCCTCTGGGCATACTGTCAACTATTCCCCCCTGCACCGTCATGGCCCCTCCGGCTCCGCCGGACTCTGTGGTCATCCCTCTGCAGCACTGTGAATCCTCGTGGAAATCTGCTATGGATCATTCCGACATTGTAGATGAGTTGCTGCAAGAGGAACTGGCACAAGGATGGATTGCGATTGTGCAGGGCGGCGATGCCCACTACTCTGTTTCCGCCGTTGGAAAGCTAGGTGCTGGCGGAAGGCCGCCCGCCGCGTCTGGTTGTGGACTCCTCTGTTTCCGGCGTGACCTCCCACACTGTTCTTCCCAACCGCTCCTGCAATCCGACTCTTACGGATGTTTTTTCCTGTATGCCACTGTCCGATTCCTTGGAACGGTTGGTTGCTTTGGTGTTGGATGTCGCGAAAGCACACCGCCGGATCCTCATTCGGAGTCAGGACCGCGGCCTTCTCTGTTTCCGACATAAGAATGTTCTGTATCAGTGTACTACCCTGAACTTTGGAGCCAGGGTATCGAGTTTTTTTCTGGGCCCGTGCCGCTGGCCTCCTGGTCCGGCTGGTACACCGGCTTCTCAGGGTCCGCCACTCCCCCAAAATCTACGTTGACGATTTACTGTCCCTGCTGGACGCCGTCTCTGCGCCGGTGTGGGCGGCACACGTGGTCGTTCTGCTTATGATCCTCAGAGTGCCCCTTTCCTGGCACAAGTGTGCCTGGTCACCTCGTGTTGTATGGATTGGTTGGGAGCTGGACCTCTGCTTGTTTACGGTGCGTCTGGATCCGCAAAAGTTCCGACGCCTCTGCGCCCTGCTCCGGCAGGCGCTGTCATCGCGTCGCTGCTCTACTCACCTCCTGGAGCGTATCACTGGCAAGCTCCTCTGGCTCTCCTCCCTTTTCAAGACCTTCCGCCCCTCTCTGGCCCCACTCTATTCGGACCAGCATGCGTTTCTGCCCAACATGACTGCTCTGGATCCGCAACGCTGGAACGATCTCCGTTCCAAGTTGTCGCCGGGCCTGCGTCTGCAGCAGAACATCGGCTTGGCCGCGCTGCCGCCTGCGTCTCGCATTTTGCGCTCGGTCAGTCAACTGTCACGAAGCTTGCTGATCTGCCACTGCACCCTCCTGAGTCACGCAGAATCTGGATCCAGTCGGTGGCCCCTCATACTGGTATCTGTGTCCTCTCAGAGGACTCCTTGCTGGTCCTCCGTCTCTGGCTGGACTTGGCCGAGTCCGGCACTGCCTGCCGCTCACTCCTTCGTCCACCGCGTTTTGAATGCGAGGCCTTTGCAGATGCGTGCGCGTCCTCTGATTCGGCTGGGTTGGGCGGCTTTGTTCGTCTACCTGACGGCCGTCAACTCTTTTTCCGGAATCACTTTTCGCGCACCGAACTCTGCGGCATGTTTCCGTGGCTGTCCCCGGACGCCTCTGTCCAAAGCTTCATTTCTTCATGGGAGCTTCTGGCTCAGTGCGCGCTTCTGCTCCTGTTGCATCAACTTCTGGGTCACAGCCACTTGCCGCTGCATTGCAGTTTTCGTTGCGACAACTCTGCTGCGGAGTCCTCCAGCTGGAAAGGACTCTCCATGGCATCTGGCCTCTGTTCCGTTCTCCGTGCCTTCTTCCTGTGCCAGCAGCGTTGCCGCATCTCGGTGCACATTGACCACGTTCCCAGCATCGTGAACGATGAGGAACTCTCGGTTGACTGGTCTGTTTTTCAGGAATCTTCGCAGCTGGCCCTGTTTCCGTCCCCTGCGGATTTTCTGGGCTTTATTGCACCAGTGGCCGATCTGCCATCTAGATTTTCTTCATTGGCCCTTCCCACGGCTGTGGTCAAGCTGCAGCTCGAACTGACTTTGGATTTCCGGGCCAATGCAGAAGACGGCATGCTCCGTGTCTGGTCCGGTCC